ATTGTACAGAAGAAATTTAGAGAATAGACATTTCCCCCATCTCACTACAGAGGAATTGCGTTAACCAATGATTATGAGTTGCTTGTACTTTGTGAAGGTTACTGAGACAAAGTTTCTCATATCTACTCAGCTTGTGTGGATACAGTGCAGCTGGGAAAGCAGCTCTATTGGGAGTCTTTGTGGGAAGGAGTTGAGAAGACTCCCCTTGTTGCTGACTCTCCTTTGCTAGTGAGATCTGTCCAGCACAGTGCTTCTCAACCTTCCTAATGCTGTGATCTTTTAATACAGTTCCTCATTTTGTGGGGATCCCCAACCATAAAATTATTTTCATTGTTACTTCATAACTGTAACTTGGCTACTGTTGTGAATCCTAATGTAAATATCTGATATGCAGGATATCTGCTATGTGACCCCTGTAACAGGGTCTTTCAACCATGAAGGGGTTGCGACGACTAGCAATTCACGGGCAGCTCCTTCCCACCAAGCAAGAATGAAGGGGCCTCTTTGTATTGTGTAAAAGTGAACACAGCTCCTTGTCTTTAGACCAGCAAGGATAGGACCTCTCTTCACTGTTTATATGGATACTGAAACAGTCTTACAATTTAGCCCAGGCTGATCTCAAGCCTGTGATACTCCTTGCTTCTATCTCTGCAGTGTTGGGATTGCAAACCTGTGTCATCTTATTGAGTTTGCCATACGGAAGAATGAGAAAGCAAGCTCAACCAGGAGTGCTGTCTGATTTGTAGGCTCGATACAAGTTGTCTGTGCTGTCTCTGGCTTAGACCCGCAACAGCATGGGACATCACATGGATGCCGTACTTGAGGAGCCAGGCAGCCTTGTCTTGCCAGACCTACCTGGTTACACTTGATCCCTTTCTCTCATGTAGCTTGCTGGAATCCTCTCCTCCCTACTATCACCAAATTCAATGTGAGGGTGGCCTGCTTCCAATCCTAAAAAGAATTTGTGATAGGACCTTCCCTCCTTCCCTGGCTCCATTCCCAGTCCTCATTCCCTTTATCCTAACAAGTGCTTTAATTCCTATAGAGAAAGTGTCAACATTGCCCCACGTTGGCCAAGTAGCAAGCGTGGTGAGAGGTAACCAATTACCATCACATAACTAGTCTGAGCCAGCCTGTCAGGGAGGTCAGAGGCTGGAGCATAGGGAGACCATGCTAGGTTACTGTGTCTGCAATCTATTTCTCTGACAAGAATGGACGGTAGTCATTAAGATCAAAAGGGGTTGTTGGCAGGGAAGCAGGAAGCAAAGGGGAGAAGCACTCAGTCCAGCTGCAAGCTGTCTATAATGGCCACCTTCCGGCACAGTTAAGCTTCGGGGAGGAGCAGTGGAACCTGGACAGAAGGGAAGAACCGGAACTGCAGGGCCAGGAGAGGCCATGAGGGATCAGTGCAGGAATCCAGAGAACTACCAGGAAACAACGTACTTCTTCCCGTTTCCCCCACACAACCGAACACTATAAAGACTGAAGCTGCAGAGACCAGTGTCTCCCTGTATCCCCTCCCCAGCACATATCAAAAGGAGCCTGCTGGAGTTGAAGGTTCTGAGAATATCTTTCAACTCAATGGAGCAATGAACTCCGCAAGCCTTCTTTTCTATTTCTGATTTTCTGTTACTTACTTTCCACTTCTGCATATGTCTCACAATGACTTTGCATTTGTGTATTGCTGTCAGGACGTAGGCCTGTGTGTTTCCCCACATAGCATACTCTGTGGCTTTCTTCATTATTCACTTTGCCCACAGATCATACACCCTGCCTCTTGTACCTATATCTTTTCCTATTTCTTTCATCCTCATCCCCTTCTCTTTTTCTTAATTATAACCACATTTTAATAATCTTTCAAATCTGTGGACTGAGAACAACCTGACCGTCCCCTCTCAGCCTGACTTTACCTACCTTGATTTTTCTTCTCAATGTCTTTAATACTTACACCCTTCCTCACTTGCTCTAATTCCCTCCCAATCATAATCTTACTAACTTCCTATGATCCTTGGCTGTTTATCCTCCAACGATCATTGTATACAAAGGAGCCCTGTGTTAATTGATTAGTGCAGCATTTGAATAGTGGTACTAGTTAGCCCTGTGGTTGCTAGCACAGTTAATAGCCTATCAAGAAATTATACAGAATTTATATCAGGTACCCCAAGTTCCTGAACTGAGGAAATATTATCTGAAATATACACTTAATTCCACCACATCCAAGTCCAACTTGAACACTGCAAATACTTCAACTGAAAAAAATTTAGCTAATAAAAAATAATCCACAATGAAGACCAGATGCATATATCCCAATGTAGTAACACAAGAAACACAAGACAACACAACTCCTCTAGTAACTATTAACCCTACAGCAATGCCATCTAGTAAATATGAATTAAATGAAATTCCAGACAGAGAGCTAAAATAGTGATTAGAAGTATATTCAAATGCACAAACAATTTGCTGAATGAAGTAAGAAAGAAGATATATAATATGAAAGAGGAATTTAAAACATAAATAGAAATGGTAAGAAAAAACTATTTTGAGATGTTCAACATTAAAAAAAAATAATCTATAAAGTAATTCTGTCAGCAATAGAATGGATCAAGGAGAGGACAGAATATCTGAACTTGAAATGCAGGCGAAGGAAATAGAACAATCCAACAAGGACAGAGATAAACCATAAAGTACCAGCCTAAATACAGGAAGCATTTAGGACACCAGAGGAGGGGGAGAGTGGGCTTCATGGCTGACCTTGCCCTCTGACGTTGCTAGGCAACAGCAGTACAACTTAGGGAACTGACTACAGCTCAAGGTGGGAGATTTGATTTTTAATTTATTTTTTTAATGTTGTTTATTTAATTTTGCTCATGTGTATGTCTAAATGTCTGTCTATGCACACACATGTGGCTAACTACGGAGGCCAGAAGAGGGTGTCAGATCCTATGGATCTGAGTGAGTTACAGGCAGTTGTGAGCTACTAAGACAGGTGGTGGAAAGGGATCTCTGGTCCTCTGTGAAAGCAGCAAGTGCTCTTACCTACTGAGCCATCCCTCCAGCTTTAAGACAGCCCTTTAAGATATGTTAAACTCCTTTCTTTCCAGTTTTGAGTGTAGGAACCCAGGGCTAATGCAGTTGGCAAATGCCATTTGCATTGCAATGGACACTGGTCAGAGAGAGCTGCAAGGGACCCGTTGTCCCAGGTAGACTGGTAGGAGGACCTCTCCTTGGTTGTTTGGAGGACAGAACAATCCCTGAATGTGGGGATATTGTCACCAGCTGCCATTTAGTATGACAAGGAGTCAAACCCGTTTTGGTTGTCAGACCCACAGAGAGGACTGCAGAAGAGAGATGGGAGAGAGCATGGCTCTTAGTGACATGTGGCCCCTGACAACCCTGAAGTCAGCTTCTGGAACTCGGAGTGTGTTGGCTGAGGAATTGTCATGTCTTTAGCTTGTCTATTATTTGCAACTGAAAGCATCCTGATTGACACAGGGAGTCAGCAGGTGCTGTACAAGGTCGGTGATGGGGTAAATAGCCCAGACACAGAGGCAGCCTGTGAGGACTGCCTGTCCCTGGAAAATGCATGCAGAGGTGGAGTCGGCCTGGGGAATTTGGGGCTGGTCTTGTGCCTCAGAGTCCAAGGTTGTAGAAAAGATCAGCACAACAGGGAATCTTAGAGAACGTCTGAAGAGCCAGTAGGCTGCTGCTGTGTTCTGTGCGCCTCTAGAGCACCACGGAAGAGTCAACTCTAGGTGACACAATCCAGTGTGGGAGGTGGAGGGTGGGGATACTTGCAAGAACTAAGAATACATTTCTTAAGGCTTGCCACGGGTCAGGTGCCGTGGTGAGTGCTTCGCACACATTATGTCACTTTTAGTCACCATTAAACACAAAGCAACAGAACAAGCTCATGGTCATAAGTTATGATTGCTTCAGCTTTCAGTGGGGAGGGCATTTTGAGTTTAAGCAGACCTAGGTCAGTATTCAAACATTCATCCATGTTAGTCACTATGTGAATGGACTTAAGAATACAATCACAAATCCAATTACCACTCATTATAAAATCAATCAGAAAAGTAGGAATTAAATTAATGTCCTCACTAATAAAGGCTTTGCAAAAACAAAAGAAGTCCAACAAATAGATCATTTGTTCACATTATACATAATGATCAAAGACTAGATTATTTTTTTTTTGTCCCCCAAACAAGACAAGAATGTCTGATCTTACATCTCCTACTCAACATTGTTCTGGACTACTGAATAAGGCAGGAAAGTAAAATTAAAGGCATCTAAAGAAGAAAAGAGGAATAAAGTTGTTTTGTTTTTAGGTGATTTAACTGTCTACATAGGAAACCCCAAGTAGTCCATAGAAAAGCTACTAGAACTAATCAGTGAGATGAGCATGGCCACAGAATGCAGTATCTAAACATAAAACAAACAGCTGTTTCTACATACAAGCATTGGATGATTGGAAATAGAAGTTAAAGTTCATAGTAGGAAAGAAATGGAGAGTAGGAATCAGGCAGGCATTGTAGCCATTGACTGCCATGTCCTGTCACATCTGCCTCCAGCATTTCTAGACTCATTGCCAGTGGAAGGTTAGCTATATTTAGGGTCTCATGGGCTCACAGGGCACATTGTTGAACTCAAGAGTCACAGACCCAAGGAAACAGAACTGGATTACAGATCTCTGTGAGAGAGATTATCTGTATTTTCCCCTTTTTAGGGATTGAGTTGGGGCTGGAACAAGACAGAGACTGAAATGTAGGAAGCAGGGACTGGCAGTCTTGTTATAAAGAGAGCATTTTTAGTAGAAACTGCACTAATCTCACCTTATCCATCATTACCATTTCCATTTCTGTTACTAGGCTCTGGAAATAATACACACAATGAAACAATTCACTATTCTAAAGCAAACACTGGTGCTTTTAGAGTTTACCCATCTAGGATAAAGGGAAATTTTGTTGTTTATCCAAGTTGCTCAAACTCATTTATGAAATCACCTTCCAGGATGAAGGAATCCTACTGCCTCAAAAGAACTTCCTGGTCAACTAGTGCCTGCAGCTCTGGTTCAGAATGAGGGAGTCTGGGAAATCTCTGAGTAAAGAACGGAAACGAGTGAAGACAGAGATGCCCATGATGAAAGGACTGGACAGAACAAGAGTCATCTAGTCATGTATCAATCCTTGGGCAGAGCACAGGAATAGACAACATGCTTGGTAAGAAGATGACACTCCACCTTTCCAGAAGCTGGACATTCATCTAGACCTACAGGTGAACAATGCACAACACACAGAGATAGGCTTTCCAAAATGACAGTGACATCAATGTCCAGTGTCAGAGTAGAGTGTAAGTGAAGGAAGGGGAAATTTAACGGAACCACTTAGACATGCCCAGTGCCAGACTCAGTCCTCAACTGGCTTACTAAGCTCCAGGGTGCTTAGTGTGCTGATCTGTGAGCCATCAGATTCATGATCACCTTTTCTCTTTGGCCCCAGGCATCAGGCTCACCCCTGATTCTGAGCTTCTCAGCATTCTGTGTCATTTGGAAAGAAATAGGAATGTGAGAAGATGGAAGACATGAGATCTTCCTCCTCTTGACCTCAAGCATCTTCTCAAAATGCCTTCTTTTATGGCTCCATGAATTAATCCAAAGACTAGATAAGTCATAAAGGAATAGGTTGATTAGGCTAACAGTTCTGGAGATTCAAGATCATAGTGCAACATGTGCTTAACTCCAGTGAGGGGCTCTGGCTCCTCCCAAACACAAATACAGTGAATGACATCATGGTGAGAACATGCTCGAATGGGAGAGATGATGTGACCAGCGGTTCAGAGGTTAAGATCACTCGTTTATATCAATTCACTCAGTAAGAACTAGCCAAGTCCCACAAGAACCATACTAATGCCTACTAAGTGCTCTCACAACCCAATTACCTATCACCAGGGTCTAGCTTTTAAAGATTCCACCACTTCAATAGCATCACCATGAAGACCAAGGACCCAAAACAGGGGTCTTTAAGGTTACTTTCAAACCATAGCATTCTCCTTCCCAGAAAGTCTCATTATGTATCTAGCTCCTTTTAAGCTATTTAGCTCTTGACTCCTAATATCTTCCGTGTGTGTGTGTGTGTGTGTGTGTGTGTGTGTGTGTGTGTGTGTGTGTGTGTAGATAAGGCTTACAGTGGCTTCCTGCTGGTGCCAACCAGTAGGATCCTCCCCATCCTCTGTATGGCTCCTCAGCTGCCCATCATTTGCATAATTGCAGTGAATCCCTTTGATGTAAGCATTTGCAGTCACATGTTCTGTGTTGGTTTGTCATTGATAGATACTCTTACAAACTGTGTAACAATCTCTAGTCTTTTCCTTAGTTGCTACTATTACACAGTCTTTCTCAGTATCTATGGAGGATTGTTCCAGGACCCTGAAGATGGCGAAAATGGTATACGCTTAAATATGTTACCTGAACTGGTATAACATTTGCATATAACCTGTGCACGTATACTTTAACTTATCTAAAAATACCATGTAAAAAGTTGTTATGTGACAAGGAAAGGTTCTATGTGATCTATTGGTCCTCTATGCTGAATGCCCAGAGGTGGAGGCCAAATGGATCACTTACCCACTAATTGCCTGAGAAATAGCCAGTCCATACCAGTTTTCACAGGTGAGAAAACGGACTTTAAACACATTTGTCTAAGGGAAGCCGGAATTTATAAGAAATCTTTCTGACCCCTGGAGTGTGTCTGCTTTCAACACTATTACACACATAGTCTGTTGTATCCACTGTCTTAATCTGCATGACATGGGGTATTTCCTGCAGCTTTTAGCGAAATACAATAATGCATGCTGTTACCTCCGTTAGAATTTCAGAGGGACATGAGTGACATTGCATAAGAATCTACACAGAATACTAGATCCTGGACAGGATTTCAATTATCTGCCAAGAGTTAGTTTTTTCTGTCAAAACATTTGCTACTCTCGTTTCAGAATCACAGTGGGTAGATAATTCACACTCTGGCAATGTAATGAGACTCTCCTCCGTAGGCTCTGCAGAAGTGCCTCCCTGTGCAGCCAGACATTACCCTTGCCATCTGGGCTTTTAAGTGTCAGTTATAGACAGAGACTAGAGCTAAAGCTCAACTAAGTCTTTCCTAAGAGCTGGAGTTTCGCACGTTGGTTTTAAATTTTTATCGAGGATCTGGAGAGAGGGTTCAGAGGTCAAGAGCATGAACTGTTCTTGCAGAGTAACCAAGTTCTGTTCCCAGCAGCTCTCAACTGCCTGGAGCTCCAGCTCCAGTAGATCCCACACCTTCTTCTGGAGTCTGTGGGTATCTGCACACACATGTCTGTATACATACACACATACCACACACACACACACACACACACACACACACACACACAATCAAAAATAAATCTTTTTAAACAAATTAATTGAATATTGACAAGTTACAGTTGTATGTATTTGTAAGATACAAAGTGATGTTGTGGTATTCACATAAATGTGGGGTAACTGACATAAGTTAATTAGCATATACAGCCCCTCAATATGTCCATTCTCTCCCCCACCTGACTAAAACATTGCTGAATTTCTCCCACAAAGACTAAAACTTGAAGTGCAGCAGAACTCAGAATCTAGGATGCCCAGCATGGCACATTATCCCCATGTTCCTAGACATTATGGAATGCCTGGGAATTCATTATGGAAATGATGGTTTAAAAAAAATGGTTGGGGATAAAGCTCCGTGGTAAAGTGCTTGCCTAGTAGGAGTGAGGTCCTGAGTTATATTCCTAGAATCATAAAAAAGGAAAACTATTTTTATTTGATTTGTTTCATTTAAATACTTTTAATTATGTAAGTTTATGACCTCCTTAAGACTGGTAAGACACATAGATGTTATTTAGACCAGTCTTCAACTCCATCCTCTTTTCTGAGAACTTATTTGGCTAAGATTTGGGTCCTTACTCTTGTCGTAAAAAAGCTTTACTGAGATACAATTGATGCACATTTTATAAAGGGTATTATTTAGTAAGTGAGCATATCCACCAGGAACTTAGGGAAGGGTATTGGAAAAGTTTACTTGTGAGTTTTGGATTTTATTCATTTCTTTACTTTATATATACATATATATGTATATATGTATATATATATAAAACAAAGCACTGATATATGTATATACATATATCAGTGCTTTGTTAGTATAATCACAAAGTTGTGCACTTATCACTGTGTAATTCAAGTGCATTTCCTTGTCCCAGGAGAAGTCTGTGCCCTCTGAGAGTCTCATAATTGCTCTCCATTCCCCCACTCCCCTCTCCAGCCTCTGGTAATTTGGTAATTGCTACTCTACTTTTTAATCTCTGTAGATTTGCTTATTCTGGATAGCTCATATTCATGAGATCATATAATACATGGATTTTTGTGTCTGTTGTGCTCTTCACATAATTATTTCGGATTCATCTGTTGTAGCAACTACTAATCCAGTTACATGTCACACAGATACATTCTAAGAAATGGACCATTGGGTAATTCTATCATTGTGCAAACATTGTACAGTATATTTATGAAAACTGAGAAGATGAGGTTGCAAGAAATGTTTTTTTTTTTCTATCAATGATAGTTAGTGCTCCAAGGGTCAATATTCCATGAGCTTCTCCCATCTTGTGACATGGCTATTTGCCCAATTCCTATACATTCCTGAGACTTTCTATCACACCCTTCCCCTTCATGCCAATTAACCAATCATGTCAGATTGTGAGGTCAAACTCCCACCAATGGGTTGAAACACAGTCACTACCTGCATTAGGGATAAGAAACAGAGGGCATTTTGGCCACGTATGCTTGCTAGACTGGTTTGGATTCTGGGGTATCCTTTTTACAAAAAGAAATTGCCTTGCTAGCTACTTGCACTTTGTGCATTTCTTTGTGTGACACTGAGATCATTTTCATCCAACAGAGTGACATATATACCCGGGCTGTACAGCATACAGCTTATTCTATTATGGCTCTGATGGGCAACAAAACACAAGACTAAATCAAGCATGAGAGCCAATGATGCAATCGAGAGACTAGGAAGATATGGCATGCAGGGTACTACGGCAGAATGTCATACTGGAAGCATTTCTGATGTAAATAGAATGAGTATACTCTGAATTAACCATAAAAAGTATGCCATAGTAAATAAGCAAAAAAGGGGCATTGGCATTTATTATTATGAAGTGCTATGTACTATCTGTGTGTGTGTATGTATATGTATATAGGTATATATATACACGTATATATATATATACACGTATATATATGCTGTACTTTATAGAACTGATGGTACAGCATATGTGTTGATGCCAGCATCTCTAGACATGCAGGGATGCACGGTGTTACATTATTGTGGATCATCGCTAACCAATATGGTTTTTTTTTTTTTTCAGTTCCATCAGTGTGATCTTATGGAATTATGTGTGTGGTCTATCCTTGACCATTGTTACCTGGCAGTGACTGCCCTTCATATTATCAAATATGAACAAATCAAATTCTGTCCATCCAGTAATGGACTTGGGTATCTGATGTGTCGATTATGAAGACTGTTAAAGACAACATAACTGGTGACAGTTTTCAGCATGGTATCGAATGGCACTGGTAAGAGTCAGCATTCTTGTCCTGTTCCTGACCTTAGGGAGAAAACTTTCAACCTCTGGCCATTAAGTAAGATACGATAGTGGTTTGAACCGAAGTATTAGCAATGGTTGTTGGTTGGAGAACAATTTCCTCTCACTTGGATGTTTCATCCAGGAGGGGCCAGGATGGGGAGGCTCATGAGACTCAGGATGTAAACAAATGTCATATGTTTGGGAAAACTGAAACCTAAACAATTTGTGTGGGCCCCTCCCCAAGGTTCCAGAAGCGATGAACAATTATTGCTAGAGGAGGAGACTGACCAGCTGGGCTGCCCGAGGAAGTGGAGCTACCAAGAGGAGACTTGAGATTCCTGCAAACAGTGCAGAGAGCTCCAGGGTTGCAGCTTTCATGAGTCCTCATGCATGCAGGGGTGCACCTCTGATGATGCAGCTGTCTTTGAGTTATCCTGGGGTTTTTTGTTTGTTTGTTTGTTTGTTTGTTTTCCGAGACAGGATTTCTCTGTGTAGTTTTGGTGCCTGTCCTGGATCTTGCTCTGTAGACCAGGCTGGCCCTAAACTCACAAAGATCCACTTGGTTCTGCTTCCCGAGTGCTGGGATCAAAGGCCTGTGCCACCACTGCCTGGCTATCCTGCCTTTTGTAAGTAACTTCTCATCCATATTCCTGTAAGGAACCTCAATAAATGCATTGGTTCACCAAATTGGACTTTGGTGTTGGTGTAATGTTTATTTTGATCTGTGGCTTCCTGTATTCCCTTTATGGAGGGTATCCTGTCTCTCCAGGAAAAGTCTCTCACAACAATGGTGAGAAGCAGTCAGAGTCTGGATGTATTTTGAGATTATATATGAGGGAATAGATGTAATATATGTGCAAAGAGATTGTCATCCAGACTGACACCAAGATTCTAACCTGAGAGCTGGAATGAGGGAATACCTGTCACTGAGATGTGGAATGTGAATAGAGTAAGCTTAGAATTAGAGGAATGTCAACAATCCAAAAATTACTGTGTCATTTTGGGGTAGACATTGCTCATTATTGATCAATTATTCATCACCTCCTTCCCCCCAGACAGATCTTGATCTACTTAGTGAAGTGTGATCCTAATTAGTCTTATCAATAAAAACCAGGAGTCAGATATCAGAATAAAAGCTGAAAGATCAGAGAAGCAGAGCAGCAGCCACCAGAGAGTTCTTACCTCTCCTAATCCTTGGACCCAAAAGGACTGACTGAGATCCTATCTCCACCACCCTTATATTCCTGTCTCCACCTTCCAATTGTGCTGGGATTAAAGGTGTGAGCCTCCCAAGTGCTAGGACCAAAGGTGTGTGCCACCATCCAGCTTCTAGTAGTGGCCAGCTCCACCCTCTGATCTCCAGGCAAACTTTATTTGTCAGAAAACAAAATATTACACAACTCAGTATAGCTGAAATTTATTTAATGCTCAATAAAAACAAGACAACAGTACTTTTACTTTCTAATCTTTCTTGCAGCAAGGATTCAGAATTCTGGCCAACGGGAACTCTCTTGGGAATCCCCAGGACTGTTTGTGCTTTGCTGATAGAAGTACTTCCTTTTATCCCTTTGCAACCAGAGAAGCAACCATGATATCAAAAACTCCTCACATAGGATGACAATGAAGGAGAGAGGTTGGAAGTTCTCAGAAGAACGTGAAGTATTGACCAGCTTTGACCTGTTTTCTTAGGTCTCCTTGTCAACTTATTGTTTTTTTAACAAAAGGAAAAGTAAACGCAGAGAAGAGAAAAAGAAAATGCCTCAATTTGGCTAATTGGGTTTCATTGCAATTGGCCAAACACAATCTTTAGTAATACACCAGCTTCCTCTGAGTCATTAATTGAAATAATGGGAAGCTACACAGCAGAGGCCAGCTCTCTTTAGATAAATCTATGCTGTTTGGCTATAAAATTCACCAACCATCTTACTACTTAGCCCTCAAGGTCCACTGTGTCTACGTAGATGGTCTGAGAAGATTTGTCTTTTAGAAATTCCAATCTACTCTGCCTATGGCCCTCTTCTGCTCTCTCAGATTAGTAATGCCATTCCAACAGTCTGCAGGGAGCCCCACATCCCTTGTGGCACACACATATGATTGTATGCAAAACACCCATTCCCATAAAACTGAAATAAAACAGTCTTTTGGTTTATTAAACCTACCCTCCCCAAAAGAGTTTCATGTGGCACACATATGATTGTACACAAAACACCCATTCCCATAAAACAGAAATAAACCAATCTTTTGGTTTATTAAAACTCCAACCCCCAAAAGAGTTCCACATGGCATGTGATCCACTCCCTCTTGCGAAGTCATTGTTTTTCTTCTTGAGTACCACCTTTTTTTCATTACACTGTACCTATCTGGGCTCAAAAATGCCCCTAGATTTTTTTTTGGTGTGTGTGTGTGTGTGTGTGTGTGTGTGTGTGTGTGTGTGTGTGTGTGTGTGTGTGTGTTTTCTCCTTCCCTGCTTATCTGGATGATGTTTATTGTGGCATTGTATGGTCATTGGAAAAGCGTCCTTATTTTCTAATAAAGGGGGGTGGGTGGACCTAACCGCAGTTTCAAAGATGTCAGTCCACAAAGGAGCACTTTAACCATTAGGAAATAAAGCTACCAAGATACAGCTGTAGTTTCCTTGGTTACCTCACATCCTATTCTTTGTCTATTGGGTCAAGATGAACCTAACTGCTGAAGGGGTAGTTATAAAGGGCACCGTCTCGTTCTTGTGTGTGTCTGCCTAGCTACTTATGGTAGCAATGCTCTCCACTATTTCTGTTATGTTCTTACTTTTTTTAAACAGTGCAGATGCATCCTGCTTGGCTGGGCCTCCTGACCCTCGTACACATTTAGTAAAACTAAGGCATGAATATTGGTGCATTAGTACTAACTGTACACCAGGCCATTCAGGTCTCATCATTTATTTCCCCCTTGCCATTTCAAGATCCAGCCTAGAATCCCACATTGCATTTAAACTTCATGCATGTTTAATTTCATTCTTCAGGGTACCTTTAACTTTTTTCCTCCTTTCTTATCAAAATTATTAGGCTTGAACTAGAAAATTCTCTCTGGGAGCTGGAGAGATAGTCGGCAGTTAAGAATGGGCCCCCAACTAGATCAGGCCCTCTGAATAGGTGAGACAGTTGATTGGCTTGATCTGTTTGGGAGGCATCTAGGCAGTGGTACCAGGTCCTGGGCTCATTGCATGAGTTGGCTGTTTGAAACTTGGGACTTATGCAGGGACACTTGGCTCAATCTGGGAGAAGGGGACTGGACCTGCCTGGACTGAGTCTATCAGGTCGATCTCAGTCCTTGGGGGAGGCCTTGCTCTGGAGGAGATGGGAATGGGGGGTGTGCTGGGGGGAAGGGGAGGGGACAGGAATGGGGAGAACAAGGGAATCTGTGGCTGTTATGTAGAACTGAATAGTATTGTAAAATAAAATAAAATAAAATAAAATAAAATAATAATAATAATAATAATAATAATAAAAAGAAAAAAAGAATGCATTCTTCTTTTGTAGAAGACTTAAGTTCTGATCCCAGCATCTGCACTGAATGATTTAAAACTACCTATAACTACAGCTCCGGAGATTCTGAAATCCTCTTCTGGCCACTGAGGACACTGCATTAACATTGCACAGAACGACACAAAGACATACACATGATTTAAATAAATAACAAGAAAACATTTTTAAAGAAAGGTCTCTCTGTTTCCCTGTTGTTTGGTTTAGTTTATAAGGAAACCAAGTTTTTATTTAAATAGCTTCTCTTTAAAGAGTCTATCCCACTGAATGGGGGCAGAAATCTACCTGTTAGGATCTGGGGCAGTTAGCTCCTGGTGGTCCCTGGACTCAGCAAACACGCAGCAAAGTGTTCATTTCACGGTGTTCTTTGCAGCCATATTTCACTCCTGCTCCTCCTATTGGCCTGAAGGAAGTCTTAAGTGAGAGTCTCTGAGATTTCACTTCATCTTATGTCTAAAAGTATTTGCTTTTGAACAGAACATCTGACAGGTGCTAGGATGCTTGGCCTGAAGTCAAGAGTGGGGCCTGGGGATCCAGCCAATGCCCCAGGCACAGTGCTCTAGGGGATCTGAAAAGAGATGAAGCTACATTGGATGTCACATTGCATCTTTGTGGGATTGAGAGAAAAACAACAAAAACTAACCCCATGAAGTCAATGGACCTTTAACAGAGTTAAAAGGTAAATGAAGTAGCGATGAATACAGGGAGCTTATCTCCATCAGGATGTGTGTGTGTGTGTGTGTGTGTTTACTGAGGATTGCCCTTAGGACCTTGTACATGATATAACATCAGACTTATTATTACATTTTATTTTTTGAGACCAGGCTGGCTTGCTCTCTCTCTCTCTCTCTCTCTCTCTCTCTCTCTCTCTCTCTCTCTCCCTCCCTCTCTCTCTCTCTTTCTCTCTGTCTCTCTGTCTCTGTCTCTCTCTCTCTCACACACACACACACACACACACACACCCTCCCTTTCCTTCCTTCTTTCATCTTTCCTTCATGCATGCATGCCACGGTATACATGTGGTGATCAGAGGGCAACTTGCAGAAGTCAGTTCTCTACTTCTACCATGTGGGTTCCAGGGATTAAACCTGGTCATCAGGCTTGGCAACAGGTACCTTGCTAGTCCTGGCCTTGAAGTTTTTATTCTCCTTTTTTAATCTCCCAAGAAGCTTTGATTACAGGTGTACCATCAGGCCCAACACATATTATATACAACGCTAAAGATATATTCAAATGTTATAAATATATTACTTTATTATATGTAATAAATTGTATTAAATATATTTATGAGGCTGGAGAGATGGCTTAGTGGTTAAGAGCCCTTATTGCTCTTACAGAGAACCTGGATTCAATTCCCAACACCCACATGATGGTTCACAGCCATCTATAACTCCAGTTCCAGGAGATCTGAAGCCCTCTTCTGACCTCTGTGGGCATCAGACAAACACATGGTACATATACATTCACACAGGCAAAGCATTTATACACAGAAGATAAAATAAATCTAAAATTTTTTAATCTATTTACATGCAATGTAAACCTTATATTTTTATACAATCTATTTGAACACTCAGATGTCAAATTATTGCTGACATGGACATTTAGGTGATATTTTTTAAATTCCCCAAAAAGAGAGATATTTGACAAGGACTTGGAGTTTTCCAACAAATAATGCAACCAACAAATCCTCCTTATTTTTACTGGAAAAACTATATGTCAAGTCGGCCACAGATCATGACAATTTA